CTATAGAAGCTGCTTTTTACACGATCCAAGTGTTTACACGACTTTAGTTTACACCACTGAATAACGAACTTTTACACTGAGATTCACATCCCACGAGCATATAATATATAAATATGCGTATGTACATATATGCCCACGAGTCACGACTACTACACTGTACAGTGCCCCTACCCGTGACCATACATTTTGTATTGAAAGCATATGACTTAAGGCAAGACGTACACTTACGATTTTCTGTCGCGCGACATAAAAATCGCGGTCGCCGGTAGGTTCCTAGAACTGTTTGCCTGTACTGTACACGCACATACGATTTTTTAACGACAGAAGAAGCGTTGTTAGGTAAATAAGGCATGTTGCATCTTTTTATCCTGTATTTGACGTTATGTTGCTTCCTGTGCTTATGTTATTATGTACATTTTGCAAATAAATAAGTATTATTATTATTATTATTTCAATCTCCGCGATTTTCTAATCCAAGAGCATTTATCTTCGTTTAAAAAATGAGTGTTTTATCTTTGCGACTAAACAATCGCGCGACAGAAAATCGCAAGTGTGCGCCTAGTCTAATGCAGATAGGAGTTCATGTACTGTATGGTCTAAGGTTTTAATACGATTTATTTTGCACACATTGAACGATTGAATTATTCACACAGACAGAATAAACAACAAAACATTATGCAAAGCGCCCAGCTCCATACTAGCTTCTCGTGGTGGTGGGTATTCTGGTGGTGGGGGCACTTGAAGCGCGTTGCACATACTTTTTGCCGAGGACTTTGGAATCCGAATGGGCTACAAAGGTGGACATTTCTGGAGTAATTCGAGTCCAAACGGTTAGTCTCAGCCACATTGTTGAGGTGTAGCAGACTTACACAAACTCACATGCCTTTTATGGGTACGGGGTATCTTGTCTCAGGTCAACCAAGAGCGAACAGTCCCTCTAGTGTCTAGTGGGAGTTGCTGACGGAGACGATGTGGCGGGGTAACAACTAAGTATATCCTTAGAGTCGCTTTATTTTATAGTAATTATATGGGTTTCCAGTTATACTTATTTTATAGATCTTATTATTTTACTCGTACAAGTTCCATCTGGCATTAGGGCCACACGTATTCTTCTATCCAATCAATATAGTGTGACACTCTGGTGTATACACCTGGAATATTAATAACGCCACACCCTTTTCCGAATGATGTAACCCCCACCACGGAGTACATACAGTAAATGTTTGGATCTGTATTAACAATTTGAAGTGGGCTACCAGAATCTCCCTACAAACAATAGAAATATTATAAACAAAAAGTTAGGAGACTATGACTTTACCTGGCAAGTATCTTTGGCCTCTAAATGGTGTCCGGCACATACTTGTGACGATTCAACGATGCCACTTCTTAATTTCTCGCCAATATTACCCCGATATGTTCGATTACATTCGAAATTTGAAAAAAACTCCAATGTTACCTTTAGTAAACGATTACTAGTTTCGTCAGACAGATGTTCAGTTATACCCCAACCAGACGCGACAGCCTTTGGAACTGGTATGTCCGAGCTTGTATGCAGACAAGCTGGTCTTGCGTACGAGTTCAGGCGAACCTTTCTGCTTAACTTTACTAATGCTATATCGTTGTAATGTGAAGGTTGTTTATATCTAGGATGATTTATCCATCGTGCTATAATAAAATCTTGTACTTGTGCGTCATCTAAGTTCGTATCTATTTGCAGTTCGCCAAGTCGAATATATTTCGGTTCACCCCTACAAATGTAAGTTTTATTAGATTTCCAAATATACAGGGTGTCTAACTACGAGCCGATTAGATTATTATCTGGGAAACTAATGCGAATACGTTTTTGAAATGTTGTACATATGGATTATTCAATGAATTAAGTTTAATACGGCTTCCGGTTATACCAGGAGTTGGCACACACTTGGCTACTTTGAACGGGATGCCTCAGTTTTCATTAATTTTGATATAGAGGACCATAATCTTAAAACAAACGGTTTTTGAGGTATCGAGTTTTTTTTGTTAAATTGAAAATCGAGAGTTGCTATTTATGCAATGAGAATTGGTAATACTGTTATTGCTAGGTGCGATCCGACTGCGTCATCGCAAAGTTTGACATTTTTGAGGTTATACGTTCTCAGAACGTTTTGGCGTGCGAGCGCTATTTGTATCGTTAAATAGAGAATAGTACATCAAACAACTCAATTCAACATTTAGCGATGAAGCACCATCTACAGCCACTGTAGATATATTATATCGCTGATAGGTACACTGAATTTAAACGTGGACGTAGTTCGCTCAAGGAAGAATATTTATACCGAGTGGTAGGATCATAGGGATTTAACATGGGAAATTAGTTTTATGCAATTTCCAATATCCTGCCCTCCTGTACATTATACAGAGTAGAGTCGTAGAGTTGTAGAGTTTAAAGTTGTTCACAATTAAAAGGTGCATACAAAACAGTATTTATATGTTTTATTAAGCTTTTGGTATACCCGAAAATTTAAAAATAAATTTCAACATTTTTGTTATTGGTAGCAATTCATAAAACAACAACAGTTATGGCTCTTGCTACTAATAACAGAAATGTTGAAATTTATTGTTAAATTTGTGGGTATACCAAAAGCTTAATAAAACACGTAAAAACAGTTTTGTATGCACCTTTTAATTTTGAACCATATTAAACTACAGTTTTTTCTGTAAAATGTACAGTAGGACAGATGCCATGAACTTGGCAGGCCTACTACAGCAGACCATGGTTCTGCTTACTGATATCGTTAGTGTTCCGTTAGTGCACGTTAGTGCCGCTGAAGAAATCGTTAGTGCACAAAAGGAAACTTACTATTTTTTAAAAATATTTGTGGGCCTGCTAACTTCATGCCAGCAGACCCATTTGAGAAAATCGATTCAATCTTTACACTAGTTCAACTAGCAGCGTTAGTGCTCGTTAGTGCCGCCAATATAAACGTTAGTGCTCAAAGTGTAACAGCTCAAAACGTTATAAAAAGGGGTCTGCTAACTTCATGCAGCAGACCCACATTTGTCAAATTGGCTCTGTCCTAATGCGAATTTGAAGCGGCTCGTTAATGCTCGTTACTGCTTCACATGCGAACGTTAGTGCCGCGTCAAAAAGGTACCAAACCACCTCAAAATAAACTTGACTTATTGGGACCTGTCAACTTCACGCCAATAGACCAACGAACGAAATCCGTTTGATTTTCTACTTTAATCGACCGGTAAGTATTAGTGCTCGTTAGTGCCGCCAATATAAACGTTAGTGCTCAAAGTGTAACAGCTCAAAACGTTGTAAACAGGGGTCTGCTAAAAAAATTAAAAATAGTTCCAAAATACATTTCGTTCATTCTCTTCGACTTTTTTTTGAATTGGAAACAAATTTTGCTAATTGTTGTGTTGTCAGCAGAACCTATAAGTTATAGTTAATTTTTAAGATGCTTTGGTAGTTTTTCGACACGGATCCATTAAAAGCACTGACGTTTACAAGTGAAGTCCTAACGAGCACTAACGAGAAGCTTCAGATTCGCATTAAGGCAGGACCACTTTAATAAATGTGGGCGTGCTGCATGAATTTAGCAAACCCACAATTTCACGCTTGAGCTCTTGCGCTTTGAGCACTAACGTTTTTTTTGCGACACTAACGATCACTAATACTGATAGATCGATTAAAGTAGAAAATCAAACAGATTTCGTTTGTTGGTCTACCGGCGTGAAGTTGGCAGGTCCCAATAAGCCACGTTTAATTTTGAGGTGATTTGGTACCTTTTTGATGCGGATCCCTTGCAGCACTAACGTTCGAATGTGAAGCACTAACGAGCCGCTTCAAATTCGCATTAGGACAGGGCCAATTTGACAAATGTGCGTCTGCTGCATGAAATTAGCAGACCCTTTTTAAAACGTTTTGAGCTGGTACACTTTGAGCACTAACGTTTATATTGGCGGCACTAACGAGCACTAATACTTACCGGTCGATTAAAGTAGAAAATCAAACGGATTTCGTTCGTTGTTCTACTGGCGTGAAGTTGGCAGGTCCCAATAAGTCAAGTTTAATTTTGAGGTGGTTTGGTACCTTTTTGGTACGGCTCCCTTGTAGCACTAACGTTCGCAGCACTAACGTTCGAATGTGAAGCACTAACGAGCCGCTTCAAATTCGCATTAGGACAGGGCCAATTTGACAAATGTGCGTCTGCTTCATGAAATTAGCAGACCCCTTTTTACAACGTTTTGAGCTGGTACAGTTTGAGCACTAACGTTTATATTGGCGGCACTAACGAGCACTAACTCTGCTAGTTTAACTAGTGTAAAGATTGCATCGATTTTCTTAAATGGGTCTGCTGGCATGAAGTTAGCAGGCCCACAAATATTTTTTAAAAATAGTATGTTTCCTTTTGTGCACTAACGATTTCTTCAGCGGCACTAACGTGCACTAACGGAACACTAACGATATGAGTAAGCAGAACCATGGTCTGCTGTAGTAGGCCTGCCAAGTTCATGGACATGTAGGGCAGGATATTGCATAAAACTAATTTCCCATGTTAAATCCCTATGTTCCTACTTACCCTGCACCACCCGGTATATCGTCCTTATTTTAGGCAACAGAGGTTTGTGGTTTTATGACTTTTTCGTATTTGGAAACTAGATTAATTAAATGAAGAAGTTTCATTGTAACTCTAAAAAAAATAGAAAATTTTTACCCTCGTTTTTACCTATGGTACACGACTAAGGTCATATATGTTTTTCGTTTAGTTTTGTACTGTATTGGTCATAGTGATGTTAAATTACACTTTTTTTTAAGTGCGTAATATTACGTGTAAAATTAGCAATTGTTTATGTTTTTTATGTAATTTACAAATATTTTTGTAAAATTACCCGTCATTTATGTTTTTTATGTTTTTTTAAATATTCCATAAACCTTTTTGAATATTGTGAGTGTTTGAAAACAAAAACACTTGTTAAATTATATATTTTGGTGTATTAAATAAAATACCCAAGCAGTAGGTATTTCGCCATCACGCGTCGTTTGGAGGAAGAAGTTCCAGATCGCGATTTAGATGCAATTATCATCCTCATTAAACCAAACTAGATTCAACGGTGAATCGTTTACGTTGATAGTACCGTTGATGGTCTGTGGTAGTACCGATCAAAATGTTTCAAATAGGTACCCGGGGAAAAAATTGGGAACGTTAGCATAGATGGATGCTTCAGATGGAGTGGCGTTTTTTTAAGAATATAACATTTATGTAACTTACAAAAATTACGGTTTTTTAAATAAAAAATGTAAGACGTAAATTTCATAAAAGACATAAATTACATAGAAAAACCGACCATCTTGTAAGTTACGCGTAATATAACCGTTTTTTAAGTAACTTACAAATCGTTATTTTACAATCCACATCACTAGTATTGGATAACATTTGCTGTAACTTACTTTTGTCTCATTGCTGACGCATCGGTTATCGTTTTGCCTTTCCATAAATATTGTTTTAAATTCTTTTATACTTTTTTCATATACAGTGTGTTCGAGATAAGAGAGTCACCACAATATCACTTTTATTTGGCGAGATTCGAAAAAATGGTCGAATATAATCAGTGGCGGTCCCGGGGGGGGGGGGCCCAGCCTCCCCCTCCATTGTCCATTTTTTCATCAATTTTGTTTCGATCTTTCCATTATGCGAGATTTCTTTTATTTTTTTCCGTGTTGGGACAAAGTTCGGGTTTGGGCCCCTCCCTTTACCAAATCCTGGGACCGCCACGGAATATAATGTTGTGTGTGTCATCACGATCTATCCGATCGCATATTGAAACTTTCGACATTTCTTCCGGTTAGACCAGAAATCGATGCAACTTTTGTTTGTCAAATATACTGCCTGTGTTTTTTAATGTCTTTGCGAAAAGAACAATACATCTGCAGTACAACTCCATCAAATACCTACGCATAATATTATGGTTGAAATACACAAAAAAATAAAGAAATTCCTGATTCAATATTTGGAAAACTTATGAAATCTAGCATACCGTGTGCTGTCAGGATGCGTGGTGTTTGTTGTGTTAACACAGATTTGTATATCAACCATATGTATATTTCACGTTGCCGTACAGCAAATTAATTGCTCGTTCAACGAAGGTCGTCCAAAATCGGTCGTTGTGTCGGAAAATGTCGCTGCTGTACGAAAACTAATTGAAGAGCATCGTCACGTGACATATCACGAAATCGGGAGACCGCGTATATCTGCTGAAACAGCAGAGTAGAGCGTATGTATGGAACGCCGTTTTACTTTTTATTCCAAAATTTTACAATGTATCATTTTAATAGCAGTTCATTTTATTTACCTATTTATTATGTTTGTTGTTTTTATGTGAAACATTATAGTTATTTATAAACAAGAGCGCGAAGTTCAATTTCGCGCATTGAGACTGAAGGTATTTTCACAAGGCGAAGCCGAGTCAAAATATCAATCAAATCGCTAGCGTTATATACAATATTTTTTTTCTATTTCGGTGTCACAATGATGATTTTGTACAACTGTTTTCGGCCGAAAACAGTTGTACAAAGACAGTGATTATAGTCGTTTTTTTTTGGTAACTCATCTCTTAAGTTGGCAGTTACTAGTTAGTACAAGTAGGTACTTCGTTGGGTACTTCCATGTTTGAACTTCAAAATGTCAGTCTTACTACGCTGCCAACCTAAAACTTAATGGCATAAAAAGTGTTCCCAACATAAAACATGTTAGTTCTAATGTTCCCTATAGTTCCTGATAATGATTTTTTTAAATTAAATTAAAGCACCGAAATAGAAAAAATAGTATGAAAAACGCGTGTTACAATGCTTTATTGTAATACTTCTATCTTGCGGACACTCGTGGCTACGCTTCGCGTCGCCACTCGTGCCACAAGATAGTCGTATTACAATAGGTCGCATTGTAACACTTGTTTTTCAATATACTATTCTACAACTGAATCGATTGTTAATTAAATTTGCTGTTCACGTTCAACTTTGTCACGTGCGCGAAATACTTTTTTTCACTGTTGACGGTTACGCGCACGTTGTCAAGAGAAACCTTACTTATTAATTAACCGTTTAAAAATTTAGTACTTCGCGTTTCGAAATCCGTCAGAAAATGACAGGTGTTTTTGACAGTTGTACAAAAATATATTTTGATGAGTCATAAGTTAAAATGTTTGTTGATAATTTTAATTGGTATCTCAGATTGTGCGCAAGTTTCAGGAACTACTGTATTGTCTATTAGGATACGTATATACACTAGCGCCTAATTAAAATTATCAACAAACATTTTAATTCAACAATCACATAATTCAAAGATTTTAACAGTAAGAATTCATATTGTGACAATTTTTTTTATTTGAACTTAATTATTTCATGTATGTCGTTGTGATATTGATCTTTATTTCCTCGCCGCCCAATAAAATGATCACATCAGAGGTTATGGGCTCAGTGTGCAGTAAATAAAATACGGAATATACCGGTTCGTTGTTGGCGGGAAAGTTGGCTACAAAAACTACAAAATGGATCAAGTAAACACAGGGGTCCTGCCGTTTTATGTTTCAGCGCAAAATTGACTCGTGTTTTAACCAATCACAGTGAAGGTCAAAACTTCCCTATAATGCTTTCTACTCTACCGCTACCTTCTTAAAATGAATACAGTATTATACAAAAACTTTCTTCAAACGTCAAAATATTGGGTCATTTTTCGACCTAGTAATAGGCGCCAAAGTTTGACATTCTCAAGAGTTTGCTTTTCTTTTTCCTCTCATCGGAAAGAACTGTTCTTATGAAAACACAACAATTTAATTTTTCACTGAATAGTAATAAGGTTATTTCCTGCGTTTACCAAAGAAACAGCACCCAATTATACATGAAAAAGAAAACAAATTTACCGACTTGACAATGACGTCTAATTTAATGAACGCTACTATCCCTTAAAATCTATCAATAAATAAATGCGCGCCATGAAAAGTGATAGGTAGCTTTGCAACAAGTACTGAGTGCACAAACCAACATGTGCCGAAATTGCCCTTGGATCGCTAGGTATTGATACAGATCTGTTATTACTCTTAAAAAAAGTGAAGAGTGAACCATTTGGCTTACCCCATCATACCTTAACGCTGCCTAGGTTTGGGGCGGTGTCACTAACTTTTCCCATTTTTGGAACTCCATACTGCTGCCTTTTATCTACCCACTTCCGGCGCTCCGTTCTCGAGATATAAGAAACCTCAGTGACGGATAATCCGATTGGAACGGGAGAGGTACCGTTGGCGTTGCCTCTCGAAAAGACCTACGATTTTCCCATTGTGAGTAGTCATTTCTATAGCTCCGTTCTCGAGTGTTAAGAGATCTCAGCGACGGATAATCTGACTGGAACGTTGAGTTACCACTATAGATGCGTCTCAACAAGACTTACGATTTTTCCTTTGTGGGTACCCACTACCGATGTTGTGCTACGAAGATATTCACGTCTAAAGTTTTAACCCTTTGATTAACAGCGTCTCGCCCAAACTAATAACTTTTTCTTAGTGGTTGGTGGTTGGTTGGTACCCCCTTCGCCCTTTCCGTTTCATAGATCCGTGTAGTGGAAGTTTTGCTATCGAGACCTATCGCTTTCCCTTTGTCGGTACCCACTATTGAAGTCTAGACAGCATATGAGTTACCTCTTAAATATCTCGGAAATAAGGTCTGTCGTTTCCCCAAATTAATACATAAACGTAAATTTTGGCCTAAATTTTGGCGAATGTATGACTTAAAATCTATGGGACGAACTGACGGATTTTTTCGAAACTTGGTCATTAAACAATTCACATACATAAATGTTTATAATTAGCTAACGCACTATCCGCAATCCTAACTACCTACATCCGCATTTGTATTATATTAAAAAAAAAGCCATTTAAAATGACACACTTTGTAAAATTTTAGAACAAGTAAAACGACGTCCCATACGTATCCATGGCAGTTCGAGATGCAGACTTGATGTATCGAACATTTTTATAGGTTGCTGTAACAAACGTCCATACTTCTTCTACAAAACCGTACAAAACTGTCTATTCTTTTGGAATAACCGTGTACTTGGTATTCATACCTTACAAAAGTGCGAAATTGCCCTATTATATTTTCGGCCTACCGTTAGCTTTGATAATGGGCTGCGAATGTTCAGTAAAACAATTGGTAAACTTACAACTTTTTATGATAATGGCAATGCGCGGCGGTTAAAACGAACTCTTCACTTATAAGAGAACCTCCGCATTGATAATATATTTTGCTGTTTGCTGTTTGGTACCCTATGAGTGCCTAAAAGGTAAACAGATGTTATTTGACAAAAAGCTCTAGCTGAAATACCATATGAGGAAATTCTCTTGGTTTAGTATCTTCACCGCCAACGATGTTACTAACAGCTATTATTGCACATTTATCGACAGATACCGTTTGCTGATTACCCACGAACACTCCAGAAAACTCTTCTTCATAAACATATTTCTGATATTCGTCACATTCTGTAATAATGATATTTCTTGATCGTTCAGATAGAAAATGTTTACAAACTTTCTCTGCTCTTCGCTCCGTATCCTGTGTACGTCGGTCTTGTGCGTTGCGTCGTTGGCGTCGATCGAGTCGTAGTACTGGTTGCTGCTGCTGCTGTTGTTGTTGTTGTTGTCGTCGTAGTCGATGAGAGGGTGCCATATGATCGTGTATTTTCCGCACGTAAACTCGTGCAGCAAACTATTGGCTCGGAACCATTAAATCCACATAGTTGTGGATTTATATCTTTTAACAAACCTTCTCTAGCTGGCGTGCAAACAGACAAAAAGTCGCATACTCCATTACTACTTGCAGATTCCAAAAAGCACGGATCGCCTATAAAATACTATATTATGATAGAGCTGACAATGTCAATCTTTATCGACTATCTACATACCGGGTGGTGCACGGTAAGTAGGAACATAGGGATTTAACATGGGAAATTAGTTTTATGCAATATCCTGTCCTCCTGTACATTTTACAGAAAAAACGGTAGAGTTTAAAGTTGTTCCGATTTAAAAGGTGGATGCAAAACTGTTTTTGCATGTTTTATTAAGCTTTTGGTATATTTAAAAATAAATTTCAACATTTCTGTTATTAGTAGCAATTCATAAAACAACAAAAGTCATGGCTATTGCTACTAATAACAGAAATGTAGAAATTTATTTTCGTACTTCCGAGACTAAAGTGACAACTTCACTCCATTATGACAAGTACTGAAGTGTCACTTTTTGTCCCTCCGGGATTAAATTTGGACGAAAATCCCGGAAGGATGAAATTACTAACAAGGCCATTTCAGTAGGTTGTTTCACATTTTGTATGCGGCACTACTTCTTAAACGCATCGTACTGCTGCTCATATAGTTTTTTGGATTTCGGTGGTATCAATTCATTACCTAGTTAGGCTGCTTTTTATCAATATCAAATACACCTTTGTCACTCACCACCAAAATTATGACACTAGCAATGACAGTTTCCAAATTATTTTTGTTCCCATAGCCACAGATCTACACATACACCATAGCATAGGGTTTGTCGTACCAACGCAACGTTCCTATGGTAACTTGTTAAGCAGCGATTTTTTGAAAGAACGCGTTCTCTAACTCCCATACATATTAAGTGTTTCAGTTTCGGAAGTACGAAAAATATCGTATATACCTCGCGACTGAAGTAGTGGTCTTAATCCCTCAGGTAAATTATGGCCCTCCCTTCGGTCGGGCCATAAACTTTACCTTCGGGATTAAAAGTACTTCAGTCCCGCGGAATATAATATACTATTTTAAATTGGCGGGTATACCAAAAGCTTAATAAAACATGTTAAACAGGTTTGTATGCACTTTTTAATTCGGAACAACTTTAAACTGTACAGTTTTTTTTCTGTAAAATGTATAGGAGGGCAGGATATTGCATAAAACTAATATCCCATGTTAAATCCCTATGTTCCTACTTACCGTGCACCACCCGGTATGTATCTCACATTTAGAAGTTTTGGAGTCTTATCACATTTTTGGTTATTTATCGACCGGAAGGAGTACCTACAACTGTAGGAATTTTGTTTCCCGCCACTATTTGTTTTTTTTTAAATAAAATTGTATTTGCTCAGTAACCTAGTAAGTAGGTTTTACCCAAGGATGCTATAGTGTTCGAGTTCGCCAGAAGAGAATACCGGTCACCAGAACACCCGATGCCGGTCTATAATCGTATTGTTTTCATATTAAATCATACGATTGTAGAACGGCATCAAGTGCTCTGTGACTGGTATTCTCTCCTAATTATTGAAATAAAAGACTAAGAAAGGAGTTTAATTATTATTAACTAGGATCCTATTGGGCTTCTCAATATGGCGGTTGTTCATACGCGCAGTGGCGTACACGCATTTAATATATTTAAATTTTTTGGCGCATAGTATTGAAATTACATACATTTTACTTCAGAAAGATTCATCACTTCTTATAAACGAAATCCATGTTTCTCGCCATTTATTTATTTATTTATTGCCCTGTTGAGGGCCCAAAACTAAGAGAGGGATAATAAATAAATAAATAAATAAATAGAAATCCATCTATCTCGCCATTCATTGTCTAAAGGAGATCTGAAAAGTAGATGTATTTCAATGGCCCGTATGAATAAAAGTAAGCAAATGCTTAGGTATACTTGCAAAAGTCAAAGTAAATACTCTTAACTGCCCCTTCATACTGGTCTGTTTAGCATGGTTTAGCAGCGCTGCACTGCGTACTGTCCTTCTGCTTAGAAGCGCTGCTAATTCACCCAGTGGGAAGGAGCACTTACGAGTATTTACTTTGAATTTTGCAAGTATAAGCATTTGCTTACTTTTATCATTGACTAATACCCTATTAGTCAATGCTTTTATTCATACGGGCCAATGTTGTTTTACATACTATTGCTACGGCAATGGATCTGTATCACAACCTGCAAAATGAATGAAATTAAGCAACGTGAAAGAAGACAATTTTAAGAAATACAGGTAACATGGTTACCACCTATGAAATGTAATTTTTGTTTCTTCAGTAGCTTTTGACTTTGTTATATTACACGATTTACAGCTAACCATTATGTTTCACTTTACCGTAGGTAAATGTGAATTAATTGTCAAAGTCGGCCATATTGAGTAGCCTAATTGGATCTTAATAAGCGTACGTGATATGTATGTAATCTTATCCTTCCTTAGTCTTTTATTTCAATGTTATTTCATGTAAACAAACAATACACTATTTTGTTGACAAGTGACATAACCTAAATCGCTCAAAACTAGATTTGGCATAGTAATTACGTCATAGAAAATGATGACGTGCAACGGAAGTTATACGGATTGCTTGATTGCTTTTCTCGCGTGTAGTGACGTCATCGCGCATGCTTTGATTAGTGTTCCGTCGATTTGTGCACCACTTCATATAATGTTTAGTTCTAATATGTACGTCCAAATAGATACTGTAGGTAACTGGTAAGTAACACTTGCCATTCATCGTCTACAAGTCTACAACATTTCTTCCTGTAAAATTTATAAGCATCCCATACCAAAAGCAGCTACACAATAAACTCAATAAGAACCCTACGACTATCGTATCACTACAAAATTGTAGTGTGGTCACTATTCCAGCGGTTGTTACCTGGATAATATTCACACTAATTTTATAATATAATTAATTAACACTAATAATATTTGTTTAATAATTGATTGACATTTTTTGATCATCACTATGTAAACTAAACTCAACTGTTCCAGATCCACCCATGGATCGCCACAGTACTAATATTCACACTAATTTTATAATATAATTAATTAACACTAATAACATTTGTTTAATAATTGAATATGTTCTAACTATATGGCATCAAATCACCGCTATCAGTAGGTACTAGCACAGTTTAGTTAATATGTCGTACTAGTTGGTAATTGGTATGTCTTTGCCAGTCTCTAATGTTCGTATTAAGGTGAAAATTTGGTACTGGTGAAGGTGTTTCTTTGTACAAAAACGGAAGATATCCTTCTCAATGTAAGCTAATTACAAAAGGTATTTAAATACAATTAATTATGATGTCTGTGAAGTTGACCTGGATAAAACAGCCCGGCAACATCGCATCATGCTAGATCGTTAGTGCTTTGTTAGTGCTCGTTAGTGCCTCACAAGTTAACATAAGGGCTCAAACCGTTTTCTCAAAATAAAAATTTTTTTTGTTCGGGCCAACTTCACGTTTGCCCGGACAATGACTCCAATTTGCATCAAATTTTGTAGATCGTTAGTGCTTTGTTAGTGCTTATTAGTGCTTCATAATTCAACGTTAGGACTCAACCGTTTTCTCATAATACCTTTTTTATTTGTTCGGGCTAACTTCACGTTTGCCCGGACAATGACTCCAATTTGCATCAAATTTTGTAAATCGTTAGTGCTTGGTCAGTGCTTGTTGGTGCTTCATAATTTAACGTTAGGACCCGAACAGTTTTCTCAGAATAAATTTTTTATTGATTCGAGTCAACTTCACGTTTTCCCGGACAATGACTCCAATTTGCATCAAATTTTATAAATCGTTAGTGCTTCGTTAGTGCTTTAGAATTCAACGTTAGATCCCAAACCGCTTTCTTAAAATACATTTTCCTGTTGGGGACAAACTTCATTTTTGACGTAGCTCTTTTCACATTGGCATGCAGCGCGATTCATCTATACGTACGGTCACCGTTCCGTTACCGCACCGTCAACGAAACGTAAAATTATCTCGTTTACAAATTTTGACGGGCCGGACGGTGACGTAACTGTATAGTCTATAGCTACTATATGTATATACCACAACTGACTCGTCCGCCATTTTGGAGCCCACCGACAATTGACGCTTGCAAAATACGTCTCAATGTCCACGTCCCAATGTCTGCGTCCTAATATCCGCGTCCCGTTGTCCGCGTCTCAATGTCTGCGTCCTAATGTCCACGGCCTATCGTTTGCGGTCTATTCCCTTTGCGGTCTACTGTCTTGCGGTCCTATGTCCGCGTCCTAATGTCTTGCAGTCCATTGCCATAGCGCCGGAATTTCGTTTCAAAGGCAAAAATTTGTTTGGTAAATTTTAGAGCAAACCGTCTTTTTCATAATTTTTACGTTTTGCGTTTTTATTCAGTACTTGCCTTACATGATATGTAGCAAAATATGTTGTTAATAGTTTTCATCATTTGAAATCACTTAATGGAACTTTCTCGGAGCACGGAGTGTACCGCGTCGTTCTAAAGGCTTTCTATTGGCCAATTTGAATTATTTTGAATATATAATTCTCAACTATTACAATTAGCAAAATAATTAATTCTACTGCTGTTTTAATTAATTTTATATACATTCGTCTTCGTCCTATAAAAGGAATAATTCTTATCACCCAACAATGCTGTTTGTATGTTACGACACTGGCAGGCATGTCTTGGTGACAAATGGTCACAGTTTTATTGAAAGTATTACCTGTCCTCTCTCTTTTCTAGTCTAAGGCTATAGACATATTCAGGCTGCACTACAGCACTTGATTAAGAAAGCAGACTCGTCCGCCATTTTGGAGCCCACTGACAGTCTGTAAGATATTACGCTGTATTGTTTGATCGTTATGTTGTGTTATGTTGCCAAGGTAACTTACTGTCATGAGAAGCACGTGTTTTGCAAGCGTCAATTGTCAGTGGGCTCCAAAATGGCGGACGAGTCAGTTGTGGTATATATAGTAGCTATAGACTACACAGTTACGTCACCGTCCGGCCCGTCACAATTTGTAAACAAGAATATTTTACGTTTCGTTGACGGTGCGGTAACGGAACGGTGACGGTACGTATAGATGAATCGCGCTGCATGTCAATGTGAAAAGAGCTACGTCAAAAATGAAGTTTGTCCCCAACAGGAAAATGTATTTTAAGAAAGCGGTTTGGGTTCTAACGTTGAATTCTAAAGCACTAACGAAGCACTAACGATTTATAAAATTTGATGCAAATTGGAGTCATTGTCCGGGAAAACGTGAAGTTCGCTCGAATCAAAAAATTTATTCTGAGAAAACTGTTCGGGTCCTAACGTTAAATTATGAAGCACCAACAAGCACTAACCAAGCACTAACGATTTACAAAATTTGATGCAAATTGGAGTCATTGTCCGGGCAAACGTGAAGTTGGCCCGAACAAAAAAAAATTTTATTTTGAGAGAACGGTTTGAGCCCTTATGTTAACTTGTGAGGCACTAACGAGCACTAACAAAGCACTAACGATCTAGCATGGTGCGATGCTGCCGGGCTATTTTATCCAGGCCAACTTCACAGACATTTAATTATGCTAATATAATATAGGAATAAATTATAAGAACTAATACAAACCGGTTGCTAACCAGCAGATTTACGCATGGCTTCCTCGCTCTAAACTCTACATATACTTTTCTTGATAATCATCACGTAATTATATTCGATGTATTATGTTAATAACAAGTTAGTAGATCCAAGTGAGGATCTCCTAATTTACGTAGATAGGTAGACGCGTACATAATAACTCTTTGGTAAAAGTAGCCAAAAATGTGTTTCAATTGGGCAATTACCATCTGCGCTAATAAAATTCCTTCTCAGCTACGTTTTAGATAGAAAGTGGTATAACTTACCTACATCAAGTTGAGACACTCCATAGTGCAAGAATATCAAATTCAGTAGCAAAAACGCAACACTAAACATCATCATACTTCCTAGCTGTTGTGTTTACAGCACTTAAGATTTGCAATACGTAATATATTTCTGGGTTAGAAATATAATTCATAGCGGCGACCTTGCGTTCTTCTCCAATGATGTCAGGGTAAAAATTTCAACCTGGAAATCCAAAAGTCATAAAACAACAATAATTGTAACCTTGGTAGATAAACTTGCAATTTTCAAAAAATACCATGCGCACCATAACCTACTGGCTGCCGTTCAGAAAAATATAAAAAACGTATGTTAAATGGATTGCACACTTATAAAGTTCAAAAGGTTGCAAAAAGTTGCTACGGAATATGTTCATATATGTAATTTAATACAAGGTGGATACCAATCAACGCACAAAGACGCTGCTAACTCTCGCACAAGACCTTGGACTTCCCAACACATTCATTTAATATAATTGGATAATATTATTAGGGCCATTTTAGTTGAACCCACATTTGTTTGGCAGATCGGCAACATAATTTGAGTCAAGGTTTAAAGTAAAATGCTACTACTGAGTTGATTTTACTGATGAGTATCCCAAATTAAATGTAATTTTAGCAATTAACTCTCATGATTTATTTAAAGCAAAGAACAATTTTTTTCAGATCAACGCATACTTGGTTGTTAACCTGTAGATTATCTAGTGCATCTGCAGAATAACTAGGTAATCTTCGAACCAAAAGCATTTTTCGCACTTTAAAGGACTTAACTAGCTAATTTGCAGATTACCTAGATAATCTGGATTTCAACGGTTTTCCGCACATCAACACATCAATACGTGCATAAGACAATAGCAAAATTAATTGTCTGTAATAACCTGAATGCATATTATGATGGTTGTCAAGTAAATTAATATAATGTTGAATCATAGACTCCACTAGAATTCCTAAAGAATTAATATTTGACAAACATAACATAAAAAAACAAGCATTAAAACATTACAAATAAATTCACATAAGTTTGGATATTGGACACCCTCTGCTACGCCAAAGAGAGATTAAATATCAGTATCAAAATAGCACAATACATATTCGAAACAAGTCACCCTGCCAAATATTAATAATCATAATTACATAATTACCCGATTCAAATACATAGAAGGAGCGTAACGTTAAGCATTATATTACAACAAAACAAAGGAACATGTCATAGCAAAACATTAGTATAAAATACCAGAGCACATACTTTGTGTTTGTATAACCTACCAAAATGAGCGTGACCTATTTAAAATTAGTGAGATATGGGAAACAAATTTTTCTAGTCAGGATCGCTGTCGAGGAGTGTTGGGATTCATGCGAAGCATTGGAATTTTAAATGATCTGTGATAATCTGTGATATGCGAGGCATTAGAATTTCGAATGCAATGTGATATTCTGTGATATTAGTATGTATGTATGTTGCTTAGTTCTTGTTCGTCGTACTTGTCTATATCTGTGTAAAAACTCTTCAAAGAAAAGTAATAAAAATGGGTGATAGGCAAATGGCCTCAGCAGCCGAAGCCTTAGGTGGGGTTTTAGTGGGTATACCTAGCAAATGGGAGAGCCCCACACTACTCTGGAACTTCCTTCTAGAGTGTGCATAAAGAGCATTTCCCCACCTATACAAAAAAAAATAGTATAAAATAATTAATCCTCAATGCCAAGTGCAGTATGTAACAATCAACGACCTAACACGTCACTCGCTTCCAGATGAAGCAACCTGTAAATAAACAGTAACATATTCATGCAACAGAAAGGAAATGTTCTGCAAAAAATTAAATTATAAATTAAGAATGTTGCATCGATGTTTCCAAATACAGCACCATCTACGAATCGCTATAATATTTATTACATCGTTTAATTCTGCATACTCGTATTGACTATCATCCCTAAGAGAACATACTGTATGTAAATATAAATAAAAACACGTAAATCGGTCAGAAATTAATATTGCGGGTTGGCAGGTAAAACCAGCACTAGAAACAAGGGGATACTGTAAATTGAAAAACAACATATTCACCTAAAAAACATAATGAAATCTTGCATTTAATTCAAAGTATGATCAGCATAATTATTTAAGAGCAATTTGTACTTGTAATGCGCTATAAATGACAATGCCTATGCTGTATTGGAATGTCGTTAATTTGGCTAATAATCTAACACGATTATATAATTACTAGATGGATGCGATAAATGTAAAGATAAAGAATACGTCACCAGAGTAATTGCAATCGAAACAGTCACAGTAACTATTCGAAACACCAAATTACGACTAACCTCAATAAAAGCACAAATACCTCTGGCCAAATTTCCGCTTTAAGCAAATCGTAGACGAAAATTGTTAATATCGACGCGCTCCGACTCGTCGAATCGATATGGATCATTAACTTCCCGCTCTTATAGCGTTGTGTTTGGCACTTTTATTGTAAATTATGGCCAGGGGCGGCTTTGGGAATATTTAAATCGAATTTAAGCAGGCAAATTCGATTCCATTACAAGGTAGACGTAGTGCGTAGAAAGTTTTTAAAGCAAAGCATTCCACTGACAGGAAGTTTACATTCAAAATGTGAAAAATTAGGTTGGATAAAATAATGTTGTTTTGGCTCCAGTTTTAAATGCAGAGGACTATAAAACCCTAGATAAAACCTATGCATTAACCGTTTAATAATAATAATAATTTAACATTTATTAATCTACCGTACATTTTATACAAAAATTGTCAACTGTCTGTAGCACGCTAAATTATATAAAGAAGTGAAAAGTCCGTTTCAGATTTTAAAGAGCCCCAACGCAATTTCCTTTTGAAAACCAGTACCTATTTAAAAGCGGACAAATACGAAAAGTACGCTCCATAGCAGTAAGAGCTTGAAAGGATCGCCTAGACAATAAGTAATAAGCTTATTATGGTTTTATTTACACGTTTAAAATGTACATGGGCGTGTAAATGGGTAAATCAATTACTTATGCACATTAAGTACAAATTAATTGTACTTTAATTGTCAAATTCATAGCTTAGAAAAAATCATTACATAAACTGTGGTCCGTATTTATATTTAAAATGAAAGATGAATTATGTCACTTAAGAACTGCTCGCCAACACAGCAGAGACAACTCGTTTGAAGGTCGATTGTTTTGTAGTACTACGACCATACATTTTGTTCTATCCATCCAACGTAATTCGATACTCTCGTATACACACCGGGAATGCCGATAGCTCCACACCCTCTTCCGAACGACGTAATACCAACTATCGAATACATACAGCGAACATTTGGATCTGAATTAATGATTAGAAGAGGTCCACCAGAATCTCCCTACAAATAAATAAAATATAGGCAAGGTGAAGCCTACTTGATTTTACCTGGCAAGTGTCTCTGGATAGTTCATGGTGCCCGGTACAAACTTGTGAAGAATCGTCAATTCCCTTCCTTAATCTCATACCTATATTTGCCCTATATGTACGATTACATTCGGCATGTGTAAAAAATTCCAACGTCACTTTAAGTAGGTCGTCACTACCACCGTCCGTAAATCCAACTTTACCCCATCCTGCCGCAACTGCTTTCTTTACTGGAATTTCGAAGTTTGTATGCAAACATGCCGGCCTTGCATACGAATTTAAATTTACTTTTCTATTCAACTTTACTAATCCGATGTCATGGTAATTTGAGGGAGGTTTAAAATCTGGATGTCTAATCAACTGCGATATAGTAAAATCTTGTACGTTTTCATCACCACTATTCGAAAATAGTTTCACATCGCCAAGTCTAACATATTTAGGTTCACCCCTGAAAAAAGTCAAATATGTGTAGGTACCTAATAAGGATTTACTGAAATGAGTTAAGTTTCTTACAATTTTTATCATTTGTGTACTTATGTTCTTATCCTGAAATATTAGTAGTATGGTATAGCCGTTTCTAAATATGACCTTGAGCTGTGAAGGTCATTGGGCGTTAAAGGTTGTTAACTGTAGATGGGTCATTAACCTTATTGTCCATGAGAATGACCTTTTCTATTTAAAGGTCGTTCACTTTTTGATAAAAGGTTATCGACCTCGTCTGTTCTTAAACCCTTCAGCTTAATAGTTTTGATCTCAGTAGATAGGAAGCCACTTATGCGAGACAGTCACGTGACACTCCAGACGTGAGGTTCTGCGTGGTCTAAACTTACTGAACGTCATCGTGGTTGTTGGGTAAGCTACATATCTGTTAAAAACACAGGTCTGTTCATCAGAAACAGGTTTGATGATCAGAAACAGGTCTGTTCATCAGGAACAGGTCAGTTTTACAGAAACAGATCGGTTAAATAAAAACAGGTCTGTTTCTGATGAATAGACCTGTTTCTGATTTAACAGTTCTGTTTTTTAACAGGCCCGTTTTTTAAAGAGACCTGTAGTTTAGACAACAACCACGATGACCATCAGTGTTTAGACCGCGCTTGAACCTCACGTCTGGAGTGTCACGTGACTGTCTCGCATAGGTGGCCCCCTATCTACTAATACTATTTAAAACCTTAAATGCCATTCCAGAAGCAATTATATGTCCGTTATGTTGCTTTAACTATACCCCCGTGAAACAAAACGTACTTTCCCAATAGTTAGAACGCCGATTAATAGGATAGGCAACCAAATTGCCTGAGGCGACAACTCATTACTTGAAAGGGAAAACAAAAGAAACTTCCTGGCACTGGCCAACAGTTTGCAACTTTTTTTATGTGCCGCACATCGTCCAATCTCCAAGTTAGTATAATACCCTTGGGGATGGCGCCCAGATCTCGCCAACACCACATCTTGTAGCCCCATCCCTAAAGTTGTTAATTACATGGCCCCGATAGGTACACGTACACTCCTCGTCTTTTTAAAAGCGTTCTTCTACGGGCTCGCATTTACTGCCAGCCAGCCAGCCAAACTGCGATTAAAAGCTACATTTTTACAAATAAGTTTGCACAAATGCGCTAAAAAATGCTACTCAATACAGTATGTACCTTTTTACGAGCCATACAAATAAAGTTGATGTTGATGAAAATCTCACAACGGTATCTGTTCTGGTTTTCTTTAAGCATGATACTAACTCTAATTTGACGTCGTATCTTGAATGGTTTAATAAAGCCCTCATCGCACTTATATCGTAAATAAT